ATGTTTCAAAGACTGTCAGAAGGCCCTGTCCAAATTTATCTGGCAAGGGCAAAAAACGAGAATTAAGTACAAATTACTTATCGATACAAAAGAAAGAGGGGTTTTTTCCCTGCCTGATTTAAAGATATATTTTGAGGCTGAGGCCTTCTGCTGGATCAAAGATCGGATTAACTTAGAAAATAAAGGCCCATAGTGCTTTAAGAATCATATAATTAGGAAGGCACTTTACAATGTGTGGATTAGATATCAGGATCTTTTGGTAAGAAAAAGACCCAAATGGATTTCACCAATGGAAGCGCAGGCACAAAAAAAGCTAAATATGGAAAATAAGTGGTTGGATACTCAGATTTATTGGTAGAAGATGACGAGGGATTTAAGCTAAAATCATTTGAACAAATTATAGATAAAGTAAACTGGCTTTAATATTACCAAATTAATGAACTATTTAAGATTGACAAGAAGAAAGGTTTTGCAACTGAAAAAACCAAATTGGAAATGGAGTTGTTAGATACCAATGTTAAGAATATGTCTAAGATGTATAGTTTCTTATTGGAGTGGCATACAAAAGATGAGCAAGTAAAATCGGTTATGATTGATTGGGCACAAGATGTGGGACATAATATAATGATGAAGGACTGGGAAAGGCTTTGGAAGAAAGGGGTTAAGTTTACTGCATGCACAATGTTAAAGGAGAATGTTATGAAATGATGTATAGATGGTACTTAACCCCTGTTAAATTGGCGAAGATCTACCACAATTGTGATAGTTTATGTTGGAAATGTAAAGAAAAGGAAGGTACTTTCTATCATATGTGGTGGACTTGCTCCAAGGTAAAAGACTTCTGGGGAAAAAATTATAATGAATTTTTAAAAAATGATGAGATACACCTTTATGAAGAAATCAGAGGCCTTTCTCCTTGGAATAACAGGTTCTGAACTGTCCAAAAAAGATGTAAAAGTATTTTTGTATGCCACAACTGCTGCACGATGAAGATGAAGATGATGGAGTTTGTGGAGCTGGCTGATCTCACCAGGAGAATCCGCAACCAGAAAGAAGAGGAACATCAAGAAGACTGGAAGAAATTTAAAGAATATTTGAATAAATATTGTAATATTAAAGACATGCAATCATTTGAAAGAATCAATTAGGCCTAGGATTAAATTGGGATTAAATATATAAATAAGAAAATGTACGATAAGAAAAGTTAGTAAACATGATTATGACTGTCATATGGTACTATGAAATAATGATATTGGAAACTGCTATATATAATTACTAAGAAATTCAGATGGACGAGATTTGAGGAAGTCAAATAATATGTTTATGAAGATGGATTTTAATTAATTAAGTGTTAGTGTGGTGGTGATTTGTTGTATTTTATGTTTTATATTCTTTTTCTTTTTTCTGTGTTATTCTTTTTTCTTTATTACTGTCAACCTTTTCTTTTGTTATATCTATGTATGGAAAATAATAAATATTATTATGGGGGGGAGCAATTTCAAGATATGTCTGGCAGGGGAAGAAACCGAGAATACAATATAAATTGTTAACAGATGTTAAAGACAGAGGGGGCTTTGCCCTGCCAGACTTGAAGTTGTATTATGAAGTGGTATGCCTCTGCTGGTTAAAGGAATGGATGCTGTTAAGAAATACAGATTTGTTGGATTTGTAAGGTTATGACAATAGATTTGGTTGGCACGCATATTTATGGTATAATAAAACAAAAATTCATAAAGGATTTGGTAATCACATATTTCAAAGATCTTTATATGAAGTATGGGACAGGTATAAAAACTTATTAGAATGTAAAACACCGTGGTGGTTATCTCCGTTAGAAGCTATGAGTGTGAAAAAGATAAATATGAGTAAAAATTGGGTTACCTATGAGAAATTGTTGGGGGGGAGGAAATAAATGGAAAATGAAACCATATGAAGAGGTTAAAGAATATGTAAATGATTGGTTGCACTATCGCCAAGTCAATGAAATATATAAAGAGGATTTAAAGGGAAAAGGATTTGATGGTAAAAAATCAAAATTTGAAATAGAAATATTAAACAATGAATGTAAAACAATGTCTAAAATGTATAAAATACTGTTGGAATGGCATTTGAAAGACGAGGAAGTGAAATCGGTAATGATACATTGGGCAAAAGATTTTGGATATAATATACAGCTTGAAGAATGGGAAAGGTTGTGGAATGAAAGGATAAAATTTACAGCCTGTAATGCTTTGAAAGAGAATATGATGAAAATGATGTATAGATGGCATATTACACCAGTGAAATTAGCTAAAATGTATAAGACAAATAATAAATGTTGGAAATGTAAAGAAAAAGAAGGAACATTTTATCATATGTGGTGGGAATGTAAAAAAGTAAAGAACTTCTGGGAAATGATATATAATGAGATGAAAAAGATGTTGAAATATACATTCTTAAAAAAACCAGAAGCATTTTTACTTGATATTATAGGTCAGGACATTAACAGGCAAGATGTTAAATTGTTTTTATATGCAACAACTGCGACAAGAGTATTGTTAGCCCAGAAATGTAAACAAGAAGAAATTCCGATGAAAGAAGAATGGCAGACGAAATTAATCGACTATGCAGAATTGGACAAAATGACAGGAAGGATTCGAAACCTGCGGGACCAGAGATTTACAGAAGATTGGAAGAAGTATATGAATTATTTGAAGAGCAACTGTAATCAACAAATTATGCTAGCAGGACTACAAGAAGTTTTGTAAGGAGAAATAGACGAAGTGTTACAAAGTAGAAAAAGATAGAGATATTGGTTATGAGTTTGAAATGTAACAGGGAAGCTAAGAAATGCATACTGAGAGATTAGACTGGAAATTTTTCAGACAGGATTGATGGAAGTCAAAAATTTGAATAAGATGTAAAAGTATGTTTAATTACTGTTGAAAATGATATGTTAAAAAAAACTAATAAAGAATTATATATTTTTTTAAAAAGATGCTGACAAAGGCAGACTGGCAGATGAAATTCCTGGAATATGCAGAGATGGCCAGATTGACTGGGAAAATCAGAAATCAGGAGGATGAAAATTACAATAGAGAATGGGATAAATATAGATTGTGTTTAAAAGAACACTGTAAGCACTTGAACTTTTTGGCAGGCTTTTAATAACTTGCAATGTTACAAAGACTTTGGATACATTGGAGGACTATAATTTGAATGAACTGTAATATGCAGTTGATTATGATATTTGAAGGGCCCACGGAGGGGAGGAGGGAAGTCCTAAGATTTGGAAGAATCTTGTTTTATTTTTAAATTTAAATGTGTTACCTGTGTGAATTATCCCCTAGACAACTGAGCAGGGAAGCCCAATAAAGGAAAAAGTAATAAGAGCAGCGTGACCCAAAAAACAAACAAACAAATAAATGGGTAGGTGGAGATAACTGATGCGACTTTCCGTAAATGTCTTCGCTGCTACAGCAGTTATCAACAAGATAATTGGGCTGACTTGCTGCCATTGGTGGAATTCACTTTTTGCTTTAATAATATTTTATTAATTTTCCAAATGTGAAAAGAAAAAAGAGAAGAGAAGAGAAGAAATAACATCATCATCAACAATACATATTCATAACCAAACACGAAGAGGAGGAAAAAAGAAAAAAGAAAAGAAAGGGAAAAGGGAAAAAGTTGCTTTCCCCCATTTCCTTCCCTGGTTCCATTATTTATCATCATACCACATGTCCATTTTAAATAAAAAATCACTGATATTACTTATTGTCCATTCATAATGTCCTTACAAGTATTTCTAAAATCCTGCTGATGTATTAACCTGTGTACATTGCTTCTGTATATATGCAATAAAGTCCTTTGTTGGGTTGAAATCACGACAGACGAGTGGCAGGTGTCATATGAGAGGCGTCTGCGGGGGCGAGCCCCAGGAACTCTCTTTTATTGAATATTACAAACATTGCCACAGGTGTGCTTGTGGCTGATTGGTTGATACAAACACAAAGCATCTTGTTGCTGATTGGTTAACATAGGTACAAGGCGGGAATTACATATGACTATTTATCACTGATAGATCAAAGGCTGAGAATCGGAGCTGGAACTAGACAGGCATGAAACCTCCTAATTAAATTATAACTAAAGATTGATATTGAAAGAACATAACATGAAAGAATACAACAATCACGTTCCGTAGATGTGGTCAGCAATGCATTAAGAACAGGTCAGGATACACTGTTTCATGAACTCAATGGGAACTGTTCAGAACATTCTCAGACTCTTGTGCAGAAGCAGAGAAAAGATTATGAGCGAGACTTCCCAGAATGCAAGAGAAAGGAAGCAATAGTTCTCATAGTCCCATAATGCCACAGTTATGTGCAGTAAGAGAACTGCAGAAAGAGAACTTCCCTTCATCTCCCCCTTTCTTTTCTTGTTTGCGAGGCGTTCTGGGTAAATAAGGCAAAAATACTTCGGGATACGTGGTGTGCCAGCGCATGCCCAAAATAAGTTCGCCAGGGTCGATGGGACAAAAATACTTCAGGATACGTGGTTTGCCAGCGCTTGCCCAAAATAAATCCGCCCACATCTCCCCTAAAGGTTACTGTTGGTGTTGCCATTTCGCAAAGTAGGCAGCAAGGAGTTTATTGGGTGGCTGAGGGGGAGAGAGAAGCCGAGAGAAAAGATTTATGAGGCTAGGAACGCATTGAAGGAAGCAGCATAGCAAAATAAGTATACAAATTATGACAATAGCATATTGAAAAAGACCACGAAGCCAAGTAAGGTTTGGCAACCAAGCGGTAAGCCACTGGGTGAAAGAATCCCAGAGGCCAGAAAATCCAATGTCCTGTTTGATGTGGTGTGTAAGATTTTGCAAATGAGAGATTTGGCTTTGAATGGCTCTCAGAATTATCAGTAATATTGAAGCAACACATGTCATTCACTTGTTCACAGCCGTAATGATGAAGCATGAGCAAATAGTGATAGCAGCACGATTTCGTAAAAGTCCATGGTGGAGTTCACTGTTCTTTATTCAAAAGGTGAAGAGCTTGTGAAGTAAAATTCAGAGCTTTTGCTGCATAACAAGCTAAAGAATTAATGTTCATACGATTCCGTACAGCCAATCCAGGGACTCCTAAGAGAGAAACAACTAAAGAGATATATTCAGACCTACTGGGAAAAGAGACAAAAGCATCACAATCATTAGTCAATTCCACATAGCGGCGATATCTAGAGCGGGATAAATGATGCTTCTTGGGTAAAATGATGGACAAACGGCTTAAACAGCAAGGTGTGCCATGGCTGATGTATTGGCACATGGTAGGGGAATTCAACATCCCTTGTGGTAGGACTTTCCATTGGTACCGTTCCGTGGGCTGACTGTTATTTAACACAGGAACGGTAAAAGCAAAGAATTTACGATCTTTCTCCTGTAGGGGAATGGAGAAAAAACAATCTTGCAGATCTATTATAGCCAATTGATAAGAATGTGGAATCATATTTGGATTAGGCAGACCACACTGCAAAGGCCCCATGGGTTCAAGGATTTGGTTTATTTTCCTTAAATCCTGGAGAAATCTCCATTTGCCACTCTTCTTTTTATGACGAAGATGGGTGTATTATAGGGGCTAACTGAAGGCTCTATATGGTCTGCCGATAATTGTTCATTCACTAATTGTTTTAAAGCAAGTAGCTTTTCTCCTGTTATGGGCCATTGTTCCACCCATACAGGACTGGTAGATTTCCAGCTGAGGGGAGTGCAAGCTTACTCATTAAATTGAATGGTAGCTTGTAATTGTTGTAGTAAATCTCTTCCCCACAGATTGAGGTGGATTTTCAGCACACAGGGCTGGATGTATGCAATGGTTTCAGAGCTATCAGGCAGAGAAACAGGCAGCCACTGTACGCTTTTGGAAGAGGTTTGGGGGCCACCCACACCCCAGACTGCAGAGGCAGACTCAAGGGGCCACGTGGGGTCCCAGCAACTACTAGAAATTACAGAAACGTCTGCGCCTGTGTCAATCAAGCCTTCTAGCACAATACCATTGATTTTATACTTACGAAGAAGTTTCTTTTCACCAATCCTCTGGACTACAGTTAACAGCTGTGGAGGGAAAGAAGAGAGCTCGTGCAAATTAGTATCCATAATAGAAGCAGTAGGATGAGAAGGAGCACCACCAAATGCGCCCAAGACTCACCCTTTTTAATTGCATGGGCATATGGCTCCAGAGTTGAACCATTATTGTGCCTACATAGTCAGGATCCAGAACTCCTGGAATAACCTGGATTCCTTCTTTTGCCGCAGAAAATTTGGGTAAAATTAAACCTGCGACTTTAGGAGGCAGTGGGCCTGCCAATTGAGTAGGCATAAGAACAATTTCACCAGGTAAAACAGAGTCTTTGGTCTCTTGATTGATCAAATCAATGGCAAATTCAGAGGGTGTTTTTTTAGAAAAGTTTGCAGCAGCAGAAACTAAAGGTGGAAAACTCTCTAATTGCCCTGGCCCGAGAGTGGGGCCGCAATGGAGTTTCCTGGACTCCTGCATTGATTAGCCCAATGATAGCCTTTTCCACATTTCGGGCATTTTTTAGAAGGTTTAGCCTTAGAGGCAACACCATCCTTGTTTGCCCCCCCGCCGGGGGCTCTGCATTGCTTGGCAAAGTGGCCTGGGCGCTTACAATTAAAGCAGTTACCTGTAGGTCTATTGGTAGCTTGGATAGCGCCGGCAAGCAAAGACATCGCATGGCTCTGGCTACCGACATCTGCACAGGCTTGAATCATATCGGCCAGGTCATATTTAGGGCGATGTATGATTGACTGCAATGCTTTCTTGCAATCGGTGTTTGCGTTTTCAAAGGCCAATTTTTTCATCAATTCATTCTGAGCTGTAGTGTTATCAATCTGCTTGGTGACTGATTCTTTCAATCTATCTATAAACTGATGGTATGGCTCCGAATGCTGTTGCTTGATATTAACAAAGGAGCTCAGCGGTTGCCCTGAAACAGGGACTTTCCGAAAGGCGCGTTGTACACAGGTCGCGGTGCGACTAAAATGTACAGGTGTCAGCGTTGCCTGGGCTGTTGTATCAGCATACTGACCAGCGCCATAAAGTTGATTGGCAGTATGCTGCGGATCAGACAGGGCTGATGCGCTATGTTTAAATTCACTTTCAAACACCACATACTGAGCTGGGGATAAAAGCATGCGCATCAGGTCTTTCCAGTCCTGAGGCAGCATTATGTAACCAGTTGCTATGCCTTCTAGCATTCCTGTTACATAAGAGGATTTTAGACCAGAGTCAGTAATGGCTTTCCTTAATTCTCTCATTACAGAATAAGGAAGAGACTCATAAAAAACCTGCTGTTGAGCAGTTCCAGGGTTTGAATAGGTGATAGGGAAAGCAGACGGCATTTCACCTGGCCACTCAGACTCCTCCTCTAAGGACAGGAGCCCTTTCTGCCTGGCCAAAGAAAGTGCAGCGCGCACAGCACCTATAGAGCAAACAGGGGCTGTGGCAGGCGGAGGAGGGATGGGGGGGGAGGATGCAGGCTGAGGCGGAGGAATGGGGGGGAGGATGCAGGCTGAGGTGGAGGAGACGCAGGGAGGGATTGGCCGGGCTGCAAAGGAGAAGGAGGCAAAAGCTTTGGGTAAGGTGGGGGATTGTCTGCGATGGCGAGAAGTGCAGGAGCCGAGGGAGACACCTTGGGTCCCAATAATTGGGACCCTAATTTAGCAACGGTGTCTGCACATTTCTGTCAAGTGAGCAGACAATGAATCGGAGCCCTTGGTTCAGTAAAAAGGGTCTTTCCGATCTTTTGCCAAGTCTCTACCTCCAAAGAACCTTTCTCTGGATAGGAGGGATATTGGCAAGAAATCTCACATAGCAATTGTTCAATTTCTTTTAAGGAAATATTAACACCCACCGCTCGCTGTCTAACTAAATAAAGCAATTCTTTAGCATGCTCTTTTTGGAATTTAGTCAATTCCCCTCCCATACTCACGAAGTAGCGCGCTAAGACTTTTCCAGTCGAGTGAAGTATGAGGGCTGGCTGCGTAAGGGATCTGGCACGTCGGGGTCACCAGATGTTGGGTTGAAATCACGACAGACGAGTGGCAGGTGTCATATGGGAGGCGTCTGCTGGGGTGAGCCCCGGGAATTCTCTTTTATTGAATATTACAAACATTGCCACAGGTGTGCTTGTGGCTGATTGGTTGATACAAACACAAAGCATCTTGTTGCTGATTGGTTAACATAGGTACAAGGCGGGAATTACATATGACCATTTATCACTGATAGATCAAAGGCTGAGAATCGGAGCTGGAACTAGACAGGCATGAAACCTCCTAATTAAATTATAACTAAAGATTGATATTGAAAGAACATAACATGAAAGAATACAACAATCACGTTCCGTAGATGTGGTCAGCAATGCATTAAGAACAGGTCAGGATACACTGTTTCATGAACTCAATGGGAACTGTTCAGAACATTCTCAGACTCTTGTGCAGAAGCAGAGAAAAGATTATGAGCGAGACTTCCCAGAATGCAAGAGAAAAGAAGCAATAGTTCTCATAGTCCTATAATGCCACGGTTATGTGCAGTAAGAGAACTGCAGAAAGAGAACTTCCCTTCAGTCCTTACAATCTTCGTTAAATTTGTTGTCATCTCTTCCTCTTAGTTTCAACGTCAGTTTTGCCATTTCAGCATATTCCATTAGTTTAACTTGCCAATCTTCTATAGCTGGGACACCTTCTTCTTTCCAATGTTGTGCTAACAATATTCGTGCGGCTGTAGTTGCATACATAAATAAGTATTTTTGTGGTCCTGGTATGATGAATATATTGCCAAAAATGTTGTTTTTGTTCAAATCAATTCCGGTGCTAAGTAATATGGCATGTTTTAAAGATTGGCAAACTGATATCTCAAAATTTATATGGCAGGGGAAGAAGCTGAGAATAAAATATAAATTATTAACAGATACTAAAGCAAGAGGAGGCTTCTCACTGCTGGACCTAAAACTCTATTATGAAGCCTCATGTATTTGTTGAATTTGAGAATGGATTAAATTAAAAAATACAGACTTACTAGATCTGGAAGGACACGGTAATAGATTTGATTCGCATGCCTATCTATGGTATGAAAAAGCTAGAATACATCAAAGCTTCCAAAATCATATAATAAGGTAGTCTTCCGGGGTGGCGCCATCTGATCTGGAGGGACCAGCTCCACGGGAAACGGGTCTTTTCCGCTACGGCGAAGCGGGGACCCTTTCAAAAATCACAGGCGGATGAAGCCTGTGACCATGGGACTCGGCGGGCACCTTTAGCGCCCCCCCAACCTGCAAAGGAACCCACTAACGGGCTCCGGAGCGAAGAGGGGGAAGGGGCGCGGTGCTGAGAGTCAACTGCTTCTTCCGTGGAGCGAAACCGCACAGCCGTTGCCCTAGAGCGCTGCCTTTTTCCTGGGACAATTTGGCTTTTAAAACAATCACCCGTGCGTACTTAAATTTCGGACAATTGGACTCTAAATAAGGACTTGCGAGTAGAAAGGAAAATTGGACTTAAAAGTTTATTTCAATTTGGCACCGAAATGGGAAGGTCTAAACAGGAAGTCAGCCTTCCGTTTCTTTGTAGATAGAATAAAGCAAAGACATGGCAAACTAGAGTTCAGAAAATTGCTTGTAAAGGATTAACTTTCATCATTTAAAATTGTTAAACCCCCTTTGGAAGCAGGGGAAGAGGGGGGATTTTTTTCGGACTGTTTAAACCTGCAGAAGTGAGTGTAAAGCAAAGTAACTTTCCACCGTCTTGATCCTGGAGCGGGGTGTCAGGACTGACGTTTTTTGAAGCTCATTGACCAGAGACAAACGTTTTTTGACAGATAGCTAAAAGAAGAGAAACATAGTGATTCCATTGTTCCCCTTCGCATTTTAAAGGAACAAATATTGACAAAATATCTGAAAAAGGAAACTTTGTTGCTAGATCCGTTTTTAAAAGAAAAGAACAAATAGAAGTTTTTCCCCTAGAGGGAGCCTGTGAAACTGTAACCAATTCTGAATCGGGGAGCTCGCAGCTGTTACAGATTACGATCGTGGGAATAGACTTTTGACCTTGCAGGACAATGTATTCAGCAGCTCTGCTGTGTGCTCTCTGTAAAACAAGTGCCCTACTGGAACAGCTACATGAGAAGACGGACTTGATGACTGGTGCGATCAGAAATTTTGAACAGGCAGTGGGAAATTATATGGAGCCCACCCAGGAATTAAATCAGGAGTGTGCCCTGACAGAACAGATGAGGGAAGAGGATGTTGCTGAATCTTGGGCGCCAGAGATGGAGGGAGCTGTGGCCCAGCAGGAACATGAGCTTTTGGATTTGACAAATGAACTTGGAAAAAGCCAGATTTGGAAAGATAAAGTTTGGTTTGGTTTGGAAATGGGGGGTTGGATAGACCCCCCTATGCAGGGATGTTTGGACTTTTCAAGTCTGGCAATGGGCCGTGAGATGTTTGGGGTTCTGGGGGCTCTTAATTTTGGAGGGACTTTGAAACATGTCCTTAAATACCACATGGAGTCTAGTGTGGACTATGGAAAAGGGGCTGATCTGTCGAGAAGGGTCAAAAACATTGTTAAGCTGGAGTTCCCACGAGTGAAAGGAGCAGGAAACAAAGGAAAATACAGCTATAAATTTGAAGAAGAGCCACGGAAGGGACATGGAAGGGACTTAAGGGCCTCGGATATAAGATTACCAGGTTAATGCGCTAGATTGACGGTATAGAAAGGACTGACAAAACCCGGGACCAGGAGGAAGAGACGCTGGATGAAGATTGGATTGTTTTTTATTTTTCTATTAGGATTGTTTTATAAAATTGATGAATGTTAGAAAAATGTTGGAACGAAATTATTTGACTTTAGCAAAAATGTTTAAAGAATTATGTAAGAATAATATGGTTATGAGAAATTGGTAAAAATAAGATTTAAGTTTTAAGCTTTAAGGTTTTTATAGTAAGATAAGATTAAAATAGATTAAGGTAATGTAATGACAGAATATTATGAAATATGGAAAGGATTTGCTGCGACAATTAATAACTAGGATACAAAAAAAGGGAGGAGGAGGAGGTCAAAGAAAGAAGGTAATGACAGTTAAGGATTTAAGAATATTGGATTTGTTTTTAAATGTTTGTGGTACATTTTTGTCTTTTGATTGTGTTGTGCTATTTTTTGATTCTGATTTTTACTAATTTGTATTGTTTGATGTGGTTTGTTTTTTCTTTGTTTTTTCTTTCTTTCTTTCTACTTTGTTTTCTTTTGTAATTCTAAAAAATTTTCAATAAATATCATTTAAAAAACAAAACAAAATCATATAATAAGGAAAGTGATATTTAAAGTTTGGGAAAAGTATAAAGGATTATTGGAACAAAAAACACCATGTGGCTCTCCCCTATAGAGGCAATATCAAGAACAAATTTAAATATGGACACTGATTGGATTACATAGAGTTATTAATTGACTCAGAAAACCAATTAAAATTCAAAGAATTTAACGAAATTAGAGAGAAAGTAACAGATTGGCTGCAATATTTCCAGCTAAATGAAACATTTAAAAATGATAAAAAGAAATGATTTCAGTATGAAATCTCAACATTTTAGAGAGAAATGATAGAAAATGATAGGAAATTAATATAAAAAATGTACAATCTGTTGCTAGAATGGGAAACGAAAGATGAAGAGGTTAAAGCAACCATGATTAAATGGGCACAAGATGTGGGACACAATATACAAATAGAGGATTGGGAAATATTATGGAGGACTGAAATAAAATTTTCTGCAAGTGTGGGTGTCAGGGAACTGCCATCGGCTCAGGGGTGAGAGGGGAAAAGCCGGATGGATTACAGAGAGCCCCCAAAGATTGTGGGAAGCAGCACCTCCTCAGCGGAGGAGAGTAACCACGCCTCCAGCTGCAGGGCTCAGGGGAGGTGAGGCGGTGCCAGGACACCTTGCCTGAGCAAAGCGGGGAGGAGAGAGGTCCTCCGTTACCCACGCCCTCCTTGAGCAGTAGGCTTCCGCGCAGAGAAGGGAAGCACAGACTGGGCGTCAAGAAACTACTCTCCTGGGGAAGGTTTAACGACCGCCCACTCTCAGATTCTGCCAGTGAATGAGCGAGCCACGGAATAGTGGCGCTCTACATGGTAAAGGTTTTTTTGGCACCAATAACAAGGCTTTACAGCCGACCAGGGAGGCATTTGCCTGATTGCTCTCGAGCAACCCCCTGATCCCCTTACAGCGGTGATTAAAGAAAACAATATGAAAATGATGTACAGATGGTATCTAACTCCAATAAAACTAGCCAAAATGTACAAAAATAAAGAAAATAAGTGTTGGAAATGCAAATCAGCATTTTTTTCATACGTGGTG